AAGGAGGTCATCTAGTCCAATGCTCTCATTTTATAGATGAGGAAACTGAGGCTGAGAATTACCCAGGGTCACGCAGGGATTAAGTGGCAGAGCAGAGATTCAAACCCAAAGTCCTCTGATTTCAGAGCACTCTTTCCACTTTCTCATGTTGATTGCTTACTGTTTTACTTTTAGGTTACATGGCCACAGGTAGAAAAGGATTTGGAGCCTTGGCTTGGATATGCCTGTTTTACCTTCCCTCTGTTAAGTATAGGGCTGAGTCGAGAGGCACAGAACAACCTTTCTTCAAGTATAAAATGAAGGGGTTGGACTCAATGTCCCTTCTACCTCTGGATCTGTGATCTAAAATGATTGCCCTTCACCTCATTGCTCAGCTTCCTGCTACAGCAAGTAACCAGAATAGGAAAAGTAATCAGGCAGGGAGTATTGAATTATAGACTGTCTTTGCTGTTGTTCAGTTGAGTTCAACTCTTGATGATCCCGTTTGGAGTTTTCTTGGCAATGATACTGTAGGGGTTTGCCATCTGCCTCTCCAGGTCATTTTACAGATGAGGAAACTGAGGCAAATGGGGTTAAGTGGTTTGCCCAGAGTCACACAGCTAGTAAGTATCTGAGGCCATATTTGAACTCAGGAAAATGAGTCTTCCTGACTTCAGTCCAAGTGCTCTATGCGCTGTGCCACTGAGCTATCCCTAAGGGTTAACTTTAGCTGCCTTGATATCCCTTAATAGTGACTTCTCCTAAGGATCCAGCTATGCCTAGATTTTCTTGAATCAGTGGCAATTCTCTATTCTGAATTCTCCGTCCCCCTCCCCTTTACTTAGGTCTCCATCCTCAGTTCTTTAGCCCTCTGATGGAGGGCATAGCCCACATTTAAAGCTAGTCATTCAAGACCATTTAGTTCCTAGTCCAATCCTCTCTTTTAAAAGGAGAAGAAACTGAGGCCCAGAGGGGTTGAATGACTTGCCCAAAGTCACACCCAAGGCTTGTTCATACTAAGTTACAGACCCAGGTCCTCCAATTCCAAATCAAGCACAACTTTCTTCCACTCTATCAGGCTGCTTCCCTGGAGTCATAATACTTTGAAAATTAAGACTAAATTCAAGCACACATTTCTAAAATTTCATCCCCCTCAACTCAATCTATATACACATTATGACAGGCCCAAGATACCTTTGGCATGGTCTTACCCAAAAACAAGATGGCCCTCATTACTGAACTTCCATTGGCCTATTTTTAATCCAGTGGAAAGGACCTTAGAAGCCAACTACCTCAAATTTTACAGACAAGGAGACTGAGACTCAGGGAAGTTAGGTGATTTGCCCAAAGTTACACCACTAGTAATCATCAAAGATGGGATTCCAACTTAGGTCCTTTGACTCAAGAACCAGTACAACACTGCCTTAAGGGAGATATCAGGTAAGCATTTAACCCTAATATACTCAGGCAAAGGAAGTGGATGTGCAAGTTACTTTGGGTGCAGCCCAGATTTCTGCAGCTACCAGAGTACATCTCTTTACTTTAATACTTTGTTCCACCAAGGTTCAAAAGAGATGGTCAATTTCAAATATTCTAACACCTTCCCTTTAAAACCAGATTAAGCAATATTTGGTGCCATCTAATAACAGCAGCTGGCATTTGTAGGGTGCTTTCAGTTTGCAAAGTCCTCCCCTCACACTAATCCTGTGACGGAGCAAGTGCAAGTATGATTATGCCCATTTTACAGATGCAGAATTTAGGACCAGAGATGTGAAATGACTCATCAGTGGCAGCAGGCTATAAAGTATCAAAGTCAGGGTTAGAACCCAAGCCTTCTGAACTGAAGTCCAATGTTCTTTTCCCTAGATTACATTGCTCCTGTGCCTCCCTTTTCATAAAGATTCTACCAATTCTTCTAACGAAAATGGGCCCTCACTATCAGGGTTTTGTTATCTTTGCTTTCCAGATGAAGAAAGTAAGGTATACAAAGATGAAAGGAGCTTCCTAGGGTCATTCCTCAAGAAAACAACAAAGCTGGGAACAGCATGCAGAAACCTTCTAAGAATGTCCCCATTCCAGACCCCTGAACACTTGACCACATGGTCTATCTGTCTCCTTACGGCAGCCACTGGTGGTGAGTTATTTTTCCATAAGCTTGGGAAACTTGATGGCTATATTTTCAGCATATGCTATCAGAGCAGATGTGCCTGCAGACAGAGAACTGGACTGGACAACCTTGTTGTGTGCAATGATGCAGGACAGGCAGATTCAGAGCAATCTACAAGGAGACCTACATTGTCAACTGATTTTATAGAATCACAGAACATTAGGTCAGGGAGAGCTTAGAGGTTGACTCCAAACTCTTCATTTATCAGGCAAGGACCTGAGTCCCAAGATTTTGGTTTTGTGTGTATGTGTGTGTGTGTGTGTGTGTGTGTGTGTGTGTGTGTGTAGACACACACATATATACATTTACACATAAATATTTAAGATTTGAGGACTTATGACATCTGGGATTATTTTAGTGAATTTTCCCCCAAAGTCAATTGAAATGATTTTTAAGAACCCAATAATCAACCCTCTGGAGCATGGAGCACTGTCTTTTTGTGCCCTGAAAGAATTAAAGAGTCACCTCATCAAAAACAGAAAAAAATATGGTCAGTCTGATTTCACTCCCCAGGTAGGCAAAGGGAAAAACAAACAAATCACATGTGGAGAAAGTCAACCTCCAAAAAACATTTCCAGACTTCTTAAATACTCAATCCTTCATAATCCAAAGTAGGATTGCTAGGAAGGAGAAGGCAATGTCTTGGGAGGAAGACGTGATTTCCATCTGGACAGTCCTTTTAAATGAGATCATTATATATGCGTGTAAATCACTCATAGCCTGCATTCTCGTACAGGAAAATGACCCAAGTCTCTTGTCATGGGTCGCTTCAGCCAAAGAAATGGATTAGGGAAAGGGGCAAGGTGGGGGTTGGGGAGGGGGTAGGAACACTAAATGCTCAGCTCCTCCCTATGCTACATCTGATTTACTGGCTGCCAGCAATTAGCACAGGAAATGTGAGCTCCTGCCAAATTCGAAAGCAAACAGAGCAGCAGAAGTGGCCAGCTACCCCAAATCCCAACAGGCTTCTTGGGGGAGTTTGTGGGCTAAAAATAACCTCTGCCTTTGTAGTCAGGAGCTGGACCAAGGAGTTGGAGCTGATAGCAGGGAAATAGAGCATGCACCAGGGTCCCCACTACAGAAACCTGCCCTTTGGGCAAATGATTTTCCAGAAACCTGCTGCCCCATTTCAAAGGCAGCCTGACAAGTTCCAGCCCATGGGGCCATCCTGGAATGCTCACCATTTTTAGAATCTGAGCTGATCATCTTCTACCTTCAAGTACTCATTTTTTTAGGTAAAGTCAAAAGGGAGATTTGAAAGTCAAGGAACCTCCAAAACTGATGCTTCTAAATAATTATTTTGTCTCATGATTCTAATTATTTGCTTTTTTTTAGGAGGAAAGGAAGACCAGATTTGTGACTACATGCATAGAGGGAATTCCCAGTGAGGAACACCCTTTACTAATGCAGATTGGTACCTGCTCTTAAATTTACCTTCTTAGAGACCTGTCCAGGAGCACTGGTTTACTTGCCTAGGATCCTGTACCCAGTATGTGTCAAAGGTAAGACCTGAACCTGGTTCCTCCTGACTTTGAAATCACCTCTCCATCCACTCTGCCAGGCAGCTTCTCAAATAATCAATAATCATCTCTCTGCTACCTAAAAGACCTTCCCAGGAATCATGCTTCAATTCACCCCAGCAAAAAATATACTGTCAGAATTAAGAAAGTTCCTTGGCAAAAAAGTACTCCTGGTGCCACTCACACTGTCAATACTGAAAGGGCTTCTAATACCAAACTACACACTTGGTTTGGTTACCCCTTACCTAGGGAAAACAGATGTCACCTTGGCCTCCTGGTTCTCCAAGCTGTGGTCCTGGAGTTCCAACAAGAAAAGTTGATCAAAAAGTTTGGTTGGAAGGAAAGATTCTTTCTCTTTCTCTCCATGGTCTATACTTACAGTACCTCTCAAACTAATTTGCCTTCCCCCCCCCCCCAAAAAAGGCTTCAATCCAGGGGATTATGTCTAAGTCAATCAGACAAGCACAGTGCCTTCCAAAGCTTCTCCTATTTGGGAAGCAAAGAGCAAACACTGGCTGGTGGCACAAGACTTCATTTACATTTTCCCATTATTCTCTTCCTCTTTCCTTCATCTCCCTGTTCTTTCTTTTCCCACTCCTCTATCAAGTGATTGAATTCAGGGGATCTGGACCCCTTGGGGTTATTCATGCCACTGGACATATTGTTGGGGCAGCAGGAAAGTAGAACTTTTTTTTTTCACATAAAGTTTCTGAGGGCAGAGTTTGGGAGCAACCCAGATTTTCAGGATGGTGGCCCGCTTTGGGACCAGGAAATTCCCAGTGAGGCTTGTCCTCTTGAACCAGTGAAGGGGTGGAAGGTATTACTGCCTGGTGGGATTTGTGAAGGGGGCAGAGAAGGCAAGTGAGAGGGCAAAGGGTTGGAGAATCATTGAAGGTTTCTTGGAACAGAGAGAACATAAAACACCAGACTGCACAAGAATGACTATTCAGTGTTCATAGAACAGCTTCCATTTAGCCCAGAAACCAGTGAGAAAGTTTCAGTGCTCAGACAAAAGTGAGGGAAATGTCAATGGGGAAGCAGGGGAGAGAGAAAGTGAGGGGAGGAATTGGGGCTTTCTTTCTTGAAAAGTACAAGTTCCTTCTAGTAAGACCCAGGAGGGGGCTGTCTGAAGTGGTGGAACCTACCCAAGGGAGGTAAATACATGCCTCCTCCTCTTGTTTTCAAGTGTCCTTGTGTGTCCCTCTGTGACTGTTTTCTTTTGTGTTGGTCTGTCTAGGTGTGGGGATGTGGGTGCTTGGTCTGAGTTTGGAAATTGTGTGCTGGTACCAGCTCGACAGGAGCAAGTGACATCCTACATCCCGGGGGTCAGCCCCCTAGGCCTGGCAGCCAAAGGCGGATGCTTTCTCTTTGAGCAATTCCCAGCACAGGTGGCAACTCCAGCTCCCTAGACGAGGAACAAAAAACAAGATTGTATCAGTGTTAGCCCTGACCCAGAGCCCGCATTATAAGCCAGAATAGAGATGGGGGCTAGAACTGTGATTTCATTCATATAGTGAGGAAACTCCCTCTCCCAAGACAGGTCACCGCTACCTGCGCTACAATGCAGTGTTGGAAAGCTGCCTGCGGCATTAAGAGCCAGGATATATTCAAACCTAGGTCCTCCTGGCTTCAAAGCCAACTCTACCCCCTACTCCATTCTGCCTCTCTTGTCAGTACCATAATAAAGTTATTGGAGGAGGGGGAGTGTCTCTGAAACCCCTTCCCCCAAATGTAGCATTTTGGAGCTTTTAAAGATCCCTTAAATCTGTAACACATCTGTCCCCCATTTTCCTAGAATAACTCAACAGAGACAAAGTACCTGGGCAGAATGCTTTACTCTTTAGACTGCTTGTAATGGAAAGAGGGCTGGCTTTGGAATCAGAAAGAACCAGGCTTAAAGTCCTGCCCCGCCTCCCTTCATACTAGCTGTGTAAACCTGGATAAATCACTTTCCTATGTCTTTGGCAATTCTCTAACTCTATAAATTATAGATAGTTGTAATTATTATAAATTATGTAATTTATATGTAATTCTAAATTATGATGTGTTATAATAATGTTACATATGTTCTATAAATATTTGTATGTAATTATACATTATAATGGTATATTATAAATATTATGTTGTAGCTGTTATAATTTATAGCTATCTGCATTAGTAAGGGAGGGATTTCCACAGTAGGAGTTAATCTACATGGATAAAATCACAGGTCCAAAGAAAAAGAAATTTCTTCTAGGTTTTGATACACACTCCTCACCCCTCCTCCAAATTCAGTCTTCAGGCATCTAGTCCTGGACCTGTTTTCCTGGATATGCAGATTGTCTCTGTCTTCTGAATCCAGTTTCTGTTTTCTAAGAATCTATTTGCTATCACTCTCTACTAAGGTTTTCTAGATCAATGAGATAGTTGGTCCAGCAAAGCTGTTTCTCCAGTGAGTCGGTATCCCCACAGGGAATCCTGGGAAAGGGGTAGCAGGGAACTACATAACCTTTTTCTTTTTTCCCCCACACTTCACCTTACATTGGTCATTTCACTATAAAATACTCTTCCGCAGCCCTTAATTTGAGAGTTCTGTCGGTTACCTTCAGGGGGCTCAGCCACGGGGGGATTTAAACAATACATGTGATAGCCACGGTCACAGTCATCACAGAAGAGCAGCTGGTCCTGATGGAGAGGGACAGAGAGAGATGGGGGGGGTTGCAAGAGAGACAGAGAAAGACACAGAGACAGAGACAGAGAGACAGAGACAGACAAAGGGAAGGAGGGAGGGAGGGAGAGGGAGAGGGAAAGGGGGAGAGGGAGAGAAAGGCAGAGAGACAGAGAGAGAGAGAGAGAGAGAGAGAGAGAGAGAGAGAGAGAGAGAGAGAGAGAGAGAGAGAGAGAGAGAGAGAGA